GTGACCTCCACCCACACCGTGGCAAGCATGTGTATACATACAGGGTATACGCCAGCTAATAAATACATGCTTAAAGCTTTTTTAAAAAAAGCAAGATGCGCCGGGCGGTGGTGGCGCACGCCTTTAATCCCAGCACTCGGGAGGCAGAGCCAGGCGGATCTCTGTGAGTTCGAGGCCAGCCTGGGCTACCAAGTGAGTCCCAGGAAAGGCGCAAAGCTACACAGAGAAACCCTGTCTCGAAAAACCAAAAAAAAAAAAAAAAAAAAAAAAAAGCAAGATGCATTGCTCTGGAGCTGACGTCGTTAGGCTAAGGGACCCGTAAGTGGCGTGGGTCAGAGTTTTTGCACAAGCCAAAGATCCCTGGAAGTCAGAAGTGATAAGGGAACGTAGAACTGGCAAATGCCTAAAGGCCTTTGTTGGGTGGTTGGAGCCTGTGAGCTGTGACACAGAGGACTTTGGGAGCCTCCAAGTATACAGAACATCAGGAAAGCTGCCAGCCTGTCTGGGAAGGGCCCAGCTAGGCTGCTTCCCCCATCCCCAGCCTCAGCTTCAGAGATGTTGGCCAACAGTGAACCTATTAATGACCTTCTGATCCAGAATAGTCTTCATGTCACCTGCCTCTTTCACCCACGCAAACAAATAAAACCTAATCTAGAACCGAGTTTCAGTGGTGGGAACAGGCAGGAAGGATCTTATCCTGTTATACCAGAAGACAGAGCCCTGTTCCTCTCCCCATGTGTATCACCCCAGACTGCTGGTCAAGTGTTGCTTTCACCAGCTTGGCCCAAGGACAACTCACTGTGTGTGTTTATCATGACTAGGACGACACACTGTGTGTTTATCATGCCATTTCTTTGAGAATGTGAGAAGGTGCTCCTGCTGCTAGGCAGGTTTGAACAGACATCCTGTGTGTGTGGGGGGGGATCATGAAAAGAAGTTTTCTTCCCCCCCCCCCCCCCCCCCCCCCCCCCGCACCCCACCTCCCATCCCCGCACCCCGGAGCTGAGGACTGAACCCAGGGCCTTGCACTTGCTAGGCAAGCACTCTACCACTGAGCTAAATCTCCAACCCCAGAAAAGAAGTTTTGAGACAGGGTCTTACTCATAATGTAGTGCAAGCTGACTTGGAACTCACGGCTAGCCTCCTGTCTCAGTATCCTAGTTTGCTTCTCCGGGAGTGTCTGCTAAAATCTGACCAAACACAGTTTGGGAGAGGAGAATGTTTGTTAGGCTTCCAGTCTATTATCCCAAGAAGACAAGGCTAAGGCTCTTCCTCCAGGTAAGAACTTGATTGTGGGAACTGAAGCAGAACCCATAGCGGACTGCTGTTTCCTGGCTTGTTCTCCCTTGACCCGATCAGCTCCCATTCTTCTCCAGCCAGGGCTCACCCACCCAGGGACTGCACTGCCCAAGGTGACCTGACCTCCTATGCCAATGAGCAATCAAGAAATGCCCTGCAGACGCTCTCATAGGCTGATCTGATGGAGGCAAGTTCTCATTTGGGTTTAATCTCCAGCTACTCCCCACCCCCCCCACCCCCCCGAGAGAGGAGAGAGAGAGAGGAGAGAGAGAGAGAGAATTGTCAGTTTCTCAGCCTAAGCGCCTAGAGAGCAGACTGGCTTCTTTGAGCATTCTATAAAATTCTCAGTAAGCAGTAAGGCCCTGAGGAGATGTCAAGGAGACAGAAACCTTGGAAAGAAAGACTTGGCATGCATGCTCGGCTTTCTCGGGGCTTCACCGTTGTGATGGAGACAAGGCTCAGGCAGCCATCCCCAAACCGGACCAAGGCGGGTTGAAAACAGAGGAAGGGCCCCAACGATGCAGAGGAAGTGAAAAAGGGTGAACACGGAGGCCTATTTTCTTCCTGGAATTGCATCGCTCATACTTCCTCAAGCTGTGCAGCTGACAGGAGACTCCAACAACAGCAGCCAGGCTAAGGGACAGGTAGCTTCTAGGAATCTAGAATATACAGTTCTTGTGTTGCCAGGCCCTACGGCCAACACCAGCCTGTGGTCTTAAGCCACCTGATGCACCCTGGACTAACAAACTGGCCTGACAGCCAGGGACCCCATGAGCAGGACACAGGAATAAGCCACCAACACAACTGGCACAAGCTTGCGCACATTTAGTTCATGTGACAGATACATCAGGGTCCACCCAGCCCCATCACCAAAGACACCTTCCCTAACACACACACACACACACACACACACACACACACACACACACACACACACACACACACAAACTACCAGAAGTATTCAAGATTGATCTCCAAGGATGGTCAGAACTTTCGGGAAAGAAATAAGAGAAGGGTAGGTTAATAGGTCTCAAGCCCAAGAAGAGATGGGGTGATTGTTTCCACTGGCCTGAGAGAATAGGAGAGGAAGAGAGCGACAGAGCATGTGTTTAAACAATTAAACTCATGCACGGTAATGGAATTTGGGGTGATGTGTTTTGTGCTTTTGGAAGATGACTGTTTTTTTCTTTCTCTTGTGAAATCGAGTTCAGAATGCATGGCAGGCAATTCCCATTGTCTCATATTTGGCCCAATAGAAATAGTGTCCATTTCCCATGTTAATTTTAAATGTTTTATTTATTTATGGGAGGGCATGTAGAGGTCAGAGGACAACTCTGGGGAGCAAGTTCTCTTCTGCCACCATGACTGGAGGAATGACTGGGTCCCAAGGCCTGAAATCAGGTCATCGGGCTTGGCAGCAAGCACCTTTTCCTGCTGAGCCAGCTCGCCAGCCCTCACAGTAATTTCTTATCTTCATTTCCCATGCTTTTTTTTTTTTTTGAGTACTGATCTGTGAATCCTGAGGAGTATGTTCCAGGTATAAGTGACATCAGAGATAAGGACAGGGTAAGATAAAACTCTGGTGGCCAGCGGCAAGGAATGAAGAAATACCGCAAGGCTTTGCAGGCTGTCCTGTAGAGTGACAGCCAGGAGGACACTGTCAGCAAAGACACAGCCCGCACGCTCAGCTCCACCCAAGAACGCTGCAAAGCCAAACCTTGAACATGACCAGTGGCCCATCAGTTCCCTGGGCCCACAGACCAACCCCAGAGTCTGAACAATTTGGGGCAATTAAGAGCTCTGGGGTAACCCCAATCCCACCTAAACACATGTGCCTTTTGACCCATTGGCTAGGATAGTAATCGCGTACTTTGGAAAACAAGACATAATCCATTTGAAAGACTTTTGGGTAGCAGGCAATTTAAGGACATAGGAAGGATGTGCAGGTGTATATGGACCCTGGGAGTTAGCACTCGTTCTCAGTGGTAAGGCTGCAATGGGAGATGCCAGGGACTTAGGCAGAGTCGGGGCCCATAGGCCCTGGGTAAAAGAAGCCTCTCTTTTGGCCCATCCAAGTGATACAATGTGGAAACGAGGTCGGATCCTTGGAAATTTTTAAAAAGACTGGAAATCTGGAAGTTTACTTAATGAGCTAACTCAAGCTCTAACTACAACGTTATTTAAGTTAAAAATCTGTTTTACCTGCAAGCTGAATTTGTTCCTCTGACCTCCAATCTGAGACCTTTGGCCTAGAGATTAGAGAATCATTAAGCTCATGTGTCTATAACCTGCATACGGGCCCTGCGCTCTCTACTTGACTGAACAGAACAGCAAAGCAAAACAGAATGGAACAGAGACACGGAAGTTGGTTTTTGAAAACTAGGTTTACCTACAGTGTGGCCAAAAATAATGGAGAGAGAGAGAGAAAGAGAGGGAGAGGGAGACAGACAGGCAGAGACAGACAGACAGACTGAGAGAGAGGGAAACAGAGAGAGAGAGAGAGAGAAAATATAGAGAATATATTAGTTTGTCATCAATCCTTATCAACATCTGTAGCAGTATCACTATTTACAGAAAAGATGTAACAACCCTCCTTTAAGGTCCAGGGGACATCCAAGAAGAGGGCACAGAGAGAATGTAAGACAGGGAGGAGACCTTGGAAATGCCATCCTCTAAACACGGCACAGCCTTTGCTGCCGTGAACTCAGAGCTGTGGATGCCTGCACTGAGCCTGCGCAAGCGAGGCTCTTCCGACCTGTCAGTCATGGAGCCCCTCCCTCTCCCTGAAGAACTATTGGCTACTGGTAGATGGAGGGCTGTAGGGTCACTGTCTTCAGTTGTGGCCCACCGTTCAGCCCAATCAAGCTTCAGTGGGTAGATCCATAACCAAGGCCAGGGGGAAAAGGCACTGTGGAGTGAGCCATGGTGCAACTGTCGTAACCGTGAGGAGTCTGTGCTCTTCTGTACAGGACTTTGGACTGTTCTCACCCTTACCAGTGGGCGGGGTTCATGAAGAAAGCTTTAGCCATTGCAGCCCACAGTACACTGTTACGTGCCCACAACGACTAAGCAAATATATCCCAGCAAGAAGTGTGATGCCATACAGGTGAGATTGAAATATCTGTGGCGAGAAAGGTAAGATTACAAAAAAAATTTAAATTCAAAATGAACAAGCCAATAATCTCCACTCTGAGCTTCTCCTTCCAGGAACTGTGACCACGTGCTTCGGTCAATGGACCTGTGGTCTCCAGTCCACGTTTATCACCATGGCTTTATAAGAAAGAAGAACAAAAGCTCCTGAGAAAAACAAGCTGGAGTGGACCTATAGTCCTCTTAGGACCACTGAGTGGTGTTAGCTGAGCTGAGCTAGGTCTAGAAACTTCTCTGTTGTCACTATACCGGGCACGGGTCTACCCAAGACACTTCTGCTGGGTTTCCCTGGAACTAGACCACACCTCCTTGAAACAGGTGATGGGTTCATTCCCTCCTGCCTTGGTCAGGGGGCTACTACTGCTGTGATGAAACACCATGACCAAGACGCAAGGTGGGGAGGAAAGGGTTTATTTGGCTTACACGTCCGTGTCACAGTCCATCATCAAAGGAAGTCGAGACAGGAACTCAGACAGGGCAGGGACCTGGAGGCAGGAGCTGAGGCAGAGGCCATGGAGGGGAGCTGATTACTGGCTTGCTTTCCCCTGGCTTGCTCAGCCTGCTTCCTAATAGAAGAACCCAGAACCACCAGCCCAGGGGTGGCACCACCCACTATGGGCTGGGTTCTCCCCCATCAATCACTAATTAAGATGATGTCTTACAGCCTGCTCTTATGAAGGCGTTTTCTCAATTGAGGCTGCCTCCTCTCTTGATGACTGTAGTTTGGGTTAAGTTGACATAAAACTGGCCAGCACACCCCCCTTCCTTCCTTTCTTCCTCCCTGACCCTGGGTCCTTCTTTCTGCCATCCCCCCACCCCACCCCCACTCCACCCCCATACACAGAGGACTAAACCCAGGGCCTCCAGGATTACTACCACTAAGCCACACCCCCAGTCCTTTTTGTACTTTTTTATTTGGGGGGAAGGGGAGTCTCACGTGGCCCAGCCTAGCCTGGGCGTGGCTTCCCAAGGGGCTGAGATGACAGGCCTGTCCCACTAGTTTCAGCTCAGACCAGCAAATGTCTCTCTACAGCTGGTGGCCTCTGAGCACACCTCGGCACCAACAGGCAAGGTGGGAGAGGGTCACTGGAGGTACCAGGACACACCTGGGGGTGCTTGTGGTCCCACCCTTAGTCATCACCCCTACTGGGACAGAAACGGCCAATCATGACGTAGGCATGTGGAAGACAGCTTCTCTTATCTGTGTGACTCTTTGGAACTGCACTGGACGGTCCATTCTTCTTACCTGTAGCTTGTCACAGAACATTCCTCATGTGTCCTCATCGCTAGCTCCATAAGCATTTGGAAGGGGTAGATTTAGAGCTGCTGACAATTCATTGCTAATGACAGTGACTAATTTTGAAAGTCATTTTATTGGGTCTACACTTGCATTCATCTCTCTAGGCATGCATGGAGACGTGCAAACTGTTCAGCACATAGGCACTTGTACGATACTTTCTAAACATGTGTTTGTTGCATGCAGAATCAAGGAAGCCAGACAGGAGTAGCTTGAGGCAGGGATCCAGAACTGGACCGCCTGGGCTTACAACTTGGTTCTGTTGTTTTCTGCGTGGATGACCAGAAACATCCCTCACACAAGCTTCACAACACATTGATCTGTTTCATAATGTCGTTGGGAGGGCTAGCTGAGTGACACAAGTCGCGTTGCCTGGGAAACAGCCTCAAAACAGAAGCTAGCATGCAGGCTTTCCTTGGAGGCTGCCCTGGGACCAACTCCCATGGGAGGCAGCAGAGAAGGCAGGCTGGACAGGGCAGGAATCTGGCTGCAATTCGGCTTCACCAAAGACCCCTGTCAAAGCCACCAGGATCTCCTCTATTATTTTCCTATGCATATTAGACTGTGTGTTTTGTCTCAGTGCTGTGGAAGCTGTAGCATGCTGTCTGATCTCTGTTTCAGAGAGAAGGAATGAGTTCTCCAGCTGAGGGGCATGGTGCTTGCACACAGCCCCTAAATCTGAAGCTAGTGACCTTTCAGAGTTGTGAGGAAGGGGTGGGGGGAGGTGTCAGATATTTCTGTTCCCGTGTGGGTCTGTCACGGACTGCAGTCTGCTCCCACTCCGCTGACTCCCAGCAAGGTCATATCGTCCAGGTAAAGCAGCCTTATGAAGGGCAAAGCCCCGAGAGGGCCTGAAGCTGGGGATCAAACGCTCCACTGCAGAAAGGAGATAAATAGAAAAACAAAGCCCCCGTTCCAACGAGACAAGTCACATGCTGAGGCCAATTTTGTATCATATAGTATTATATATTGTCTCTACACATCTTATTTTCAACTTCTTGGATGCTTTTGTTTTTGTACACAGGACAAGGAATGTGTAAGATATCCCAACACTTCTTGTACTTTTCTTTTGAGACGGTCTCTTTAAGTTGCCCAGGCTGGTCTGGAACTTGTGATTGTCTTGTCTCAGCTTCCTGAGTGGATGGGATTATAGGCCTGCCACACCAGATTCAAGCCACGGCACATGGCCTGAGTAGCATCTGTCATTGTGGCCACTTGTGAGAGGTTTGGGATGTGTGGCCTTTTCGTCCTCATCCAATCATGGGAGACATCACCCTTCAAGGAATTGGTGAGTTTAACAGGTCATACATAAACCAAATGCAAAAAACAGGATTAACGCTGTATAGATATTCACACAGAATTGTTCACAGAAGCCAAAAGACAGAAATTACCCACCGAGAAAGAACAGACGTGATCTCTACACAATGATTTCCAAGTATTAAGGTCACTTCCTTATTCCCGAATGACCAAAAAGAATATACAACCAGAGAATAGGTGAATCATAGACACGGGGAAGTGATTTGAGGGTTTATCTCCTCCAATTGCCTCATCTGCTGATGAAGCAAAGCAAGTAAAAGAGATAAATGCCCTGACTTGATGGAGCCTACGGCAGTGTCTTGATTTAAATTCAGGTCACCGGGCTTTATGCTCAGGGCCCCTCTATTGGACCGCATCAAAAACTGCAGCTGGATTGTCTTGATAGTTGACGCCAGTTCTAATGAGCTGATAGCAGCTGCCCACACTAAGGAGACTCAAGTCCGAGGCTTCCTACGACCCTTTTTATTAGGGTGCTGTTTTCATTTCTAGAAATTCCTTGTCCCACAGATGAACCAAAAGTGCCATGTTGAAGATAAGTTTTATGGAGACAAGTATAGCACTGTTTGTAAGGAGAAACTGGGTTGCCATTAAGCTCTGAATCTAACCAGATTGCTCCTTCACGCCTGGAATATTGTCCTTTGGCTTTTGTACTGTTTTTCCTCCCCAGGGGAAGATGTTAAGACTCAGATAATCACAGGAGCCCCTCTGCCCTCCGCTGGTGCAGCCAGGGATTTCCAGGGATGAGATGGCTGAGCTGAGTGTCACTGGAGGGGACCAAGGATAAGACAGAAGCTATTTCCAGAGCACCCTGGGTGACAGCAGGAGTTGGAGCTAGGGCATCCGTCCTTGTTCTTTCTGGTGATGAGAGGTCAGGGCTCCAGAGCGGAAGGTTAATGGAAAAAGATGAAACTTTTATCATGACAGAACAGGCATGACAAAATTTACATTTCAACCATTTTGTGCATCTAATTTAGTGATTGTGACACTTGATGTGCCACCGTCAGCATGGGTGTCCAGAATCTTTGTCATCTCAAACAGAACTCTGGACTCATTAAGCAATAGCTCCCCAGTCCCTCTCGCGTGACCTCTACTCTCCTCTCTGTGTTTTCCTAGTCTAGGTGACTTGTGGGAATGCACTGATAAAACATCTGTCCTTTCGTGCCTGTCGTCTTGCCGGAAGGGTGAAAGTTTCAAGGTGCATCCAAGTCATGCTTTAGCACTCACTTCCGTCTTAGTGCTGAACGACATCCCTTGTAAGAACGTACCACACTTTGTGTTTTTATACTTCTGTGAATGTACATTGGCTGGCTCTGTTTTCTAGCTTTTGTAAAGAACACTACCATATACTCTGGTGTGGGGTAACAGTGTGTTTTTGTTGTTTTGTTTTGGTTTGGTTTTGGTTTCTGCATTCAGCTCATGTCTAATACAGTAAAGCATCAATTCTGAGAGGATCATCTAATGCAGTCTCTCGGGACCAGATGCGGAAGCGAAGGCCACACAACACTGAACCTCTCATCCATTTAGTGGCAGCCCTAACAGATGGTATTAAGGCCATGTGCCATGTTTTGAATCTGAAATGCGGCCTGAGGATAATGTTTTCAATGCTCAGTCTCTACCTCTTGGTGCTATTATTTTAGTAATTTTTTATTTATTCTTTGAGAATTTCAGAAATATATATATATATATATATTTTTTTTTTGAACATACCTACCTACCACTCTCAACATGGCTTCTTCCTAAATTCGTGTCCTTATTATAACCCAGTGAGTTGTAATAATAATAATAATAATAATAATAATAATAATAATAATTAACAATAATAATAATAATAATAATAATAATAATGGGCAACAATTAGTGCTGCCCATATGCACATAAGTGTGGGACTGTAGGTGCAGAGCATGGGCCACCTACCCACGGTAGCATCTGCCCTCTTTCCCATGATGTTACCTGAACCTTGTGATGGCGGAGCTTGATACAGCTGTTCTGTTTAGAACTGAGCATTTGGTCACCTCTTCTCAGTATCTTGATCAGTTATGAGTCTCTGTGTTTACTGCTACCCACAACCAGTTCTGACCATTTTTACAGTTTCAAGCATGGGTTCCATACTGTGGAACAGTCCTCAAAGCCAAGCAGAAAGTAGTGGTTAGCCCCGCAACAGCCATGCCACTAGGGCACTGGCGGACACATCTTACCTGCCCGTTCAGTACGGCAGCTTACGGAATCCAGCGTTGGGTAAGACTATTCTCTTCTTTTCTTCCCCAATGGCCAGCATAGCACCTTCCCACACTACAAAATGTAGTGTGGCACTCTTTGAAGGCTGAGGAGCTTTTAGAAAATGGGTTCCTGGCTGGTGGAAGTTGGTCACGAGTGTGAATCCTTGAACTGTATATCCATTTGTGTTCCCAACGTGCCCTCTCTCTATGTCCTGCCTGTTGCCATGTGAACAGCCACCCGTGCAAGCCCCTACTGCTACAGATTGAGCTACTTCCACCATTGGATCTTCCCTTCTATACGAAGGACTGAAATGTATCTGAAACTGTGAGCCAAAATATGTCTTTCTTCCCTAAAGTTGTTTCTGTCAAGGATTTTGGTCACAGCCATGCAAAAGTAAACAACACAGCATGGGATCCAAAGCTTGGATTCACCGGCTGAGTCGTGATAAAGTAGATACATCATTCTTTCCCATAGTACCAGAAGTTAAACCTGGTACAGCATACACACAGAAAAATGCTCAACTATTTGAGCTACAACCCCATCACTATGCACCATTCTTGACTACTTATGTTTACCCTATGTGATAGTTTGAATGTCATTGGCACCCCTAAGCTGGTAGGGAGTGGCATTATTAAAAGGTGTGGCTTATTGGCGTAGGTGTGGCCTTATTGGAAGAAGTATGTCACTGTGATGGTGAGCTTTGAGGTTTCCTATGCTCAAGCTATGCCCAGTGTGGACAGAGACTCCTTCCTGTTGCCTGTAGATCAAGATGTAGAACTCTCAGCTCCTTCTCCAGCACCGTGTCTGCCTACATAACACCATGCTTCCTGCCATGATGATAATGTACTGAACCTCTGAAACTGTAAGCTACCCACAGTTAAATGCTTTCCTTTATAAGAGTTGCTATGATCATGGTGTCTCTTCACAGCAGTAGAAACCCTAACTAAGACATCCAATGTCTAGCAAATGGAATACATAATGATTTTAAAATAATATGATTTATAGTTATCAGATACCCAGTATTTATCAAACAAAGCAGCCCAATTATCTATTGTTTTATATTAGAGAAACCTGAATTTAGTAGTATGAAATAAGAATTATTTGTCAAGCACCAAGAATTCAGATTAGGAGGCTGTAGAGATGGCTCAGCAATTAAAACCATATGCTACTCTTCCAAAGGATCTGGGTTCTGTTCCCAGCACCCAAGGCAGGCAGCTCACAACAGCTTATACATCCAGCTCCAGGGGAATTGGACGCCTCTGGGTAGGGTAGGCACTTCACGCACATGCACATAATTAAAAATAAAATAAATCCTATTTTTAAATTCAGATTAGGACAATGGTGGAGATTGCTTGGCTCTATCCCATAATCTCCAGGCCTCAGCTGTGGAGATTCAAACAGCAGAGAGGAGACTTGAATGGCTTGGGACTAGGATTGTCGGAGTCACTCGGGTCATCTGTGGCACTTGAATCGTTTGTGGCACGAGGCTCAGATGTCTGTGTGTTTTTACTCATGCCTTATGCCCGCGCTGGGATGATTCAAAGGCTGCCCAGCTTGGATCAGTGAATGGTATCCCTACTCTTTGTACACACTGGGCTTCCTCACAGCGTTATGGAAACAAGGAGTCACACTTAGTACTCAAGACGAGTATTCTAGTCATTAGGCGAACTGGTGTTGATCTTCCGTGACCTACGGGCACATAACATGGCTCTCACTCTTCTGTTGGTCAGAGACACAAGTCTCTCACAAGAGAGAAAGAGCCTCAAGTCCCCTTTCTCATTAGAAAAGTATTGAAGAGTTAGTGATACTGACTTGCAAGCATGACCACTAGGAAATATTGTCCCTTTCAGGGAGGCCCCTCTAAAATACCACGTCACTGTCCCAGTGCCACCATCCTTCTTACAGCTTTCTGGAATGCCATTTTGGAAGTCTCTAGACTCTGTTGAACATCATTTTGACTTACTAATGGCAATGAGTCTTTGCTTACCTCTGAAGGGGGATTTGACTCAGAAAACTCCAGTGATGGAGAAAGATGGATCAGCGTGCTTTCAAACACTTAGTGAGCTGCTAGCATGTGCAGGGAACTAGGAAGAGAAACTCATATGAAGAACAGTAGTCAAGCTGGCCATGGTGATGCATGCCTTCAATCCCAGAACTCAGGAGGCAGAGGTAGGCAGATCTCTGTGAGTTCGAGGCCAGCCTGGTCTACAGAGTGAGTTCCAGGACAGCCAAGGCTAAACAAAGAAACCCTATCATGAAAAAAAAAATAGTAGTCACACAAAGGAAATAAGGCCTTCTAAACACAGCATGACCAACACTCACATGAATATACAGAGACGGAGGCAGCATGCACGGGGCTTGCACCAGATGGGGTCCTACAGCTGAGAGAAAAGTAGACACATGTCCCCATCCTTAACTCAGAAGTTATCTCAAGTGATAGCCACTCACAAATGAAAAATTAGTTTTCTCCAAGGGAGTCTCACTGGGGAGATAAACCACCGTGAAGGGCAGGCCCCATGTCCAGCAGTAGATGGGCAAGACCAATGCCATCTTTGGAGGTTCTTTGTCTCATAATGTTTTACATACAATATGGCTTCCAGTTTGGTGTTCTTATGGGGTCGTGTGTGAGATCGTGTATCTCTGTGTCTATATGTATTTTTCCTTTTGCTTTTTCTTTGGTTCTCTTTCTTCTGTTTATTTAGTTCTGTTCCGATTTGTTTGCTTTTGTTTATTTTATTTATATATTTTTTATTATTCCTTAGAAGCCTGTTTATTTCCTAAGGAGAGACAGAAAGGGTGAGGACCCACAGGAGGTAAGAAGGAACTGGGAGGATTTGAGGGAGGGAAAACTGTAATTAGAATATGTTATATGAAAAAAAAATCCATTTTCAATAAAAGAAAAAGAATGCTAAAAAAGAAAAAGAACAGTAGTGTGATGGTTTGATAAAAATGGCCCTGATAGGCTCACGTATTTGAATTCCTAGTCCTCAGGGAGTAGCACTATTTGAGAAGGATTAGGAGGTGTGGCCTTGTTGGAGTGGGTGTGGCTTTGTTGATACAAAGGAGGGTGGGCTGAGGTTTCAAAAGCTGACACCAGGCCAGTGTCTCTCTCTCTCTCAGCCTATGGATCAGGTTGCAGCTCTCAGCTACTGTTCCAGTACCATGTTACCCACATCATGATAATGGACTAAGCCTCTAAAATGGCAAACAAGTCCCTCAATTTAACACTTTCTTTTGTAAGAGTCGCCTTGGTCATGACATCTCTTGCCAGCAATGGACCAGTGACTAAGACAAGTTGTCACTTCAGAACAAACTTGAGAGTGGACCTGTGCCAACAAATCAGAGGGATGGTCTTGCATGTCTGAGGATTACCGGACTGTCCAAGCAGAAGCCCCTGTACGAGGATGAGGTAGGCGACTCTCTGGCTTTCTTCTGGACTCTCCTAAGAGTAAGAGTTGTGCAATGGTGAACAAGAGCTGTGTGTTTTTTCACTCGGATCACACTCTGGTGTGGTCTCCTGACAAGGGTAGCCAACCTTCCTGAACATGTCCCCAGGTGTTTGAGGTCTGAATGCAATCAGCACAGAGCACAGCGTCCCACAGAACTTGGCCTTCATGTTCTCGCCTCGTGTCTCTTTTCATCTGTGTCCTTCAGGTTACCCAGGCAACTAGCAATCTTCTGTGCAGTGTTCCTGCCCTTTCCCATGGAAACACAGTTTATGCGTGTGCTGTGTGATCTCTCTTGACACTGTCATCAGGAACAGCATTTAGGCCTCGTAGCCTAACAGGTGCGCCAGAGACTGGGCCAGTAGGCAGAACACACAAGGGGGGTACACACACACTTTTCACACCACCCAATGTGTGTTTGCCATCTTGTGAGTCTTGAGACAGCCCAGACTATCCACATCCTTTTCCTCTTTCCCAAAGAGCTCTGTGAAAGGACAGCTTAATTTTGTGATTTGAATATGAATGTCCTCCACTGGCTTGTGGTGTATTTGAACTCATGATCTCCAGAGAGTGACATTGTATGGGAGGTTGTAGTACCTTTGTGACTAAGGCCCTGCTAGCAGATTGGAGGAGGGCCTTGAAGGTGACACCTGCGTTTGACTTGGGCTCTTGAGTTCTATTACCTTATCTGCCAAGATATAGATAAAGATCTTTGGTACCTCCCTCCTATGATGGACTGAAATCTCCCGAGATGGGTCAAAATAAGCCCTTCTCATGAATTGTTCCTATCCAATATTTAATAACAACAATGAAAAAAATCCAATATTTAATATAACAGCTAAGAATCCTAATATCTGTCCCTCTTTTAAAGAATATGGGGTGACCTCACTGACATTCTGTTGTAGACATCTATGAAATAGGGGTCTCAGAAAGCAATGGCTTGGAAGCATAGGGTCTGTACTTTCTTGACATGGCTATGTAGCCTACATGTTGGCCCAAGGGTGATATCATTGCAATGCCAGCCCCAGGCTAAGAAGAGGAATCCTTCCTTCCGTTTCTACATGATGTTCTCATCTGAACCACAGGATGAACCCTAGACTGGAAACCACAACAGTAAGTGGACAAGGTTGCTTTCAAATCCTTTTGCTAACTGACTCACCCTAGACTAGAGCTACTTTAAAAAGCTTCTGAACCTTTTGCGATGGTTAGTATTATTTTCACCCACCCCAAACTCACGTTGAGACTTGATCCCCAATCTAATAGCATGTGGAGGTGGTGGGATTGTGAAAAGGCATTTGGTCATGAAGAATGTGCCTTCACAAGGTGATTAATGTCTTTATTCTAGAACAAGTTCTCATGACGTCTTTGTAGGTTCACGCAAAGCAGATTTTCTTTCTGCTATGACGGGAAGCAGCATGGAGCCCCCCCACCAGAAGCTGAGCAGGTGTCCAAACCACATCCTTGGACTTCCCAGTCTTCTGACCACTGTGTCCCTTATACATCACCATGCTGTTGTTTGGTTCCAGCAATAGCTAACAGAATAGGACAGTCCACTTAAAGAAAGGTATTGGTCACATTCTCTAAAACCCCACCAGGGACAGTCACAGTATTTTTAGAACCTAAATCTTTAAAAAGAACACCATGGTTGTGATTTTTATAACCATTATAAAATACTGGGGTTATATAGGTCTTCTTTCTCCTTTTTTTTTTTCTTGTGTGGCACGATGTGTGGTGTGGTGTGTATACATTGTAATGTGTGTGGTGTACATAACAGTGTGAGCATGTGCACACGCATGCGATGCCAGAGGTTCATATCTAGTGTTTATTCTTAATCACTCTCTACCTTCAGTTTTTGAGAAGAGTCTCTCGGTGTGAATGAAATTGAGGATGCGATCACTCCTAGCTGTGGTTGAGGAGAAGGTCTTTATTGTGGATACGAGGGAGGGAAGAGTCCGAGGCATCTGGAAAGATCCAGACTGAACATGGCCAGAAGAATAGACTGGACCATGGTGGGGGTGGGGGGCCATTGAGAGAGAAAGAGAAGAGAGAGGGACGAGAGAGGGGTCCAGCAGAGGGGGAAGAACCGAGAATGGAGAAGGGTGGGCAAAATGGCTGAGTTACACAAGGAAAAGAAGCTGGGGGAAGGGAGGCAAACAAAACCCAGGGGCTGGGAGGGTTTAGGGTGGGGCAGGGGTGGGGTGGGGTGGGGTGGGGTGAGAAGTGCTGAGAGGAGCCAGGACTCTGTAGCAGCCATTTGCAATACTGAGAGAGCCTGGCAGCCAGTGTCCACTTTCATGTGTTAATAGGCGCCTCAGCCATTTGTCTCAGGTTTCTTTGAGACCTAACACCGTGAACCTCAAGTTCATCAATTTTTTTGTTTGTTTGTTTGTTTGTTTTTTTCCCGAGACAGGGTTTCTCTGTGTAGCTTTGCGCCTTTCCTGGAACTTGCTTTGGAGACTAGGCTGGCCTCGAACTCACAGAGGAAAGAACCACCTGCCTCTGCCTCCCGAGTGCTGGAATTAAAGGTGTGTGCCACCACCGCCCAGCTAAGTTCATCAATTTAACTAAACCGGTTGACCAATAAGCTTCAGGGATCTGTCTCTGTTCCTGTGACAGTGGGGTCACCAGAGCCCTGACTCCCCACACCCTCCGCTCCTGCCACCCCTGGACACCCTTCTGCCTCTCTCACTGTCCAAGTCCCCCACTTAGCTCCAGCAGTAATCACTTTGTGCTGTGACAAGTCACGTAAGCTTTCAGCGCGCCTGATTCCTTGACACCTGTAAATCAGCCTAATTATGAAATGGATCAATGAGGCAGTATTTGCAAGGTCGGACCCAGCTGCTCAGTTTGCCCTGTTGGATGCAACCTGAAAATTCAGACCTTTTCTACAAAGGCAGAAGGGGGGAAAGATTTCTCCCTTTCCTGGGGTCACTATTAGAGGGTCATGACCCTTTGGGGGTTGAACGATCCTTTCATAGGGGTCATCTAAGACCATCCTGCATATCAGACATTAACGTTATGACTCATAACAATAGCAAAATTACAGTTATAAAGTTGCAATAAAAAATAATTTTATGGTCTGGGGTAACCACAACATAAGGAACTGCATTAAAAGATTGAAGCATTAGGAAGGTTGAGAGCCACTGGGCTAGAGCCTGTCTTGCTGCCTTCGTTGGCTGTTTAATGACAAGGCCCTCAAGGGAGGATACACTCATCCCACAAGCAAAGTCTGCCAGACTCACTGAGCTTCACTCAGAGGACAACCTCTGTCCACCAGGAGTACCAGGCACTACTCATGCCTGGATTCAGGAGCATCCCCCGGGCAGGAGCAGGGCAGCCAGCAGCCAAGGCCAAGTCAGGGACCAGAGGGCAGGAGGCCAGAGGTGGGACAGAGCACAGCGAGTTCCTTTCTCTGTGCTAGGCACGCATCCCAAGCAAGAAAGCTGGGCCTGTGGATTTTGTGAGCAAGGCTCTTTGCATTTAAGTCACATTCAATAAATGGTAATTATTTATCGGACTCCCCCATCACCGAAGGATTTTGTGAAGATGACAGGGGGTAATATGAATGAAGTTAAAGCGTCCTGGATAAATTGTGAAGTACTCAATGCTAGAAAAATGCACCGGACCTGGACAACAGGCATTGTTTCGCTGGGCAAGGCAGCGGCAGAGAAGATTCACGGTGGGAGAATGTGTGGCTAACGTATTGTTAGAAAGCTTCCCTCTGTGGAAGATGAGAAACACCAAGCTGGGTTTCCCTGGGTATTGCCCCCCGCCTCAACAACTTGAAGTCCACATGCCACAGGGCTACCTTTTGCAGGACTATTCATAATAGCTGAGCTACAGAACTAACCCGGGGGTCCAACAACAGGGAAGTGAATAAAGAAAATGTGGTGCATACACAAAGGAATTTTTTTTTTTTTGAGCCATAAAGAAGAAAGAAGTCACGCTGTAAGAAAATGGACACAGCTGCAGATGACCAGATTAAGCCAATCCCCAGTGTGGTAGTTTGAATGTCACTGGCCCCCGTAATCTCCTAGGGAGCGGCACTGTTGGGAGGGGTGGCTTCGTCGGAGTGGGGGTGGCCTTGCTGGAGGAAGTGTGTCAGTCGACTTCCTGTTGCCTGCAAGATGTAGGACTCTCGGCTCCAGCGCCATGTCTGCCTGCACAGCCTCATGCTCCCCGCCATGATGATAATGGACTGAACTTCTGAAACTGTAAGCAAGCCACCCCAATTAAATGTTTTCCTTGTAAGAGTTGCCATGGTCATGGTGTCTCTTCACAGCCATAGAAATCCTAACTAAGACACCCAGAAAGACAAATATCATGTTTTCTGTCATTTGTGGTTCAAGGATCTTATATAGAGACATACTTAAAATCATGTATGTATACATGACATGAACGGAAAAGTAAAACTGTCTAGGGGCAAGAGATTAACAGGAACAGGGAGAAAGGTGTGTGTGAGAGAGAAGGACAGAATATGCCCAACACATAATACATACCATGAAAAATTGAAAGTAAATAATTCATTTCCAAATAGTGATTTTTTTCCTTCCTATTGTATTTTCATTTGACCTTCATTTACATAAAACATGCTTTTTTTTAAATTCTGAGAGTTACAAGAAGATTACAATTAGAAACTGAAGTCACATGTATTACAGGTGAATTTTTCTCATGTGCTGGAGACAATGTCTGGCTAGATAGCCCAGGTAGCCTGACATTCATTATCCTTCTGACTGGCCCTCCTGAGTTCTGGGATGAGATGTGTGTCACAGTGCCCAACCATTCCAGGTTAGTTTTTACAGACCTTCCTTTCCTGAACGTCCTGTGTGTCCTGCATGTTGAGAAAAGAACAGTGTACGCAATGAGGAGTCCAGGTTTGGCTTTGGGTGAACAATGGTCCACTCCACCGGTGGTCGGTCAAGTGGCCTCAGCAAGTTCCTGGGAGCTGCTTCTCATCGGTTCATTTCGTTTTATATTACCTTATCTTCTATGTTCTGGTGGGATTTTCTTGTTTGTGTGAGACAGGTCTCACATAGTTGGTCTCCAACTTGCTATACAATCAAGGCTGACCTTGAGCTTCTGGCCCTCCTGGTTCCTCACACTGAGTGCTGGGATTACAGGTGTGTGTGTGCCACCGAGCACAGTAGATACCACAGGTACAGCATTCAATCCCCTTTTACTTCTTTGAGTTTATCTGCTGTCCTGCTTGTCTGCTCCTTCGTAGTCCCACTCAGTGTTTCTGGAAGATTCTGTCTACCATGGACCTCCAAACAGCTTTCTCCCTCTTTATCCAATCCCCCCCTCTCTCTTTCCCTCTCCCTCCATCTTTCTTTACCATCATACTATCTCCTCAGAAAGGTCTTTCCTCAATATCCCTTAAAGATATTACTCTTATCCTCATTATTGCCTTGACTATGTATTTCTATTATGGAAAAATAGACACAATGTAAAATTAGCCAATACAGCCATCTGAAGCATACAAGCCAGTAGCTTAACATGTTTTCAGTATTGTGCAACCCTTGCCTCCACTCGTCTCCAGACTGTTTTCATCAGTACAAACAGAAACTTTGCACTGCATGGCTGTTTTGATGGCCTTCTATTTACCTGTTGATGAGGGAGAGATCCCTGCCCTAGGGGGTGTAGGGAAGGCCAAACACATGCCCTGTGACCCTGGAAAGCTGAGGCAGATGACTATGTCAACTTACCAGTCATATCCACTCACAGCCTGGAGGACGAATTCAGCATGTGCCACACAGGGCTCTCCTCCAGAACAGAGAGATGAACAGGAAAGTTATAGGAGTCTGGGTAAGATAACCTCTGGCTCTCCCCAAATGGTGTGATAGCTTGTTCTAAAACTTCCAGTGGCTGCAGGGAACCAAAGCCCACCACCTTAAGCATCTGTAGGAACTGCCCTGAGCCCCCAGGGCAAAGTAGTCTGTTTGGCTGGGAGATCTTATCCATGTGAACATGTTGAGGAGAGTAACATGAAATCAAGTCATTCAAGGTCCCTCAGTGTCATCAGACGTCAAAAGCTGCATAATGGTAAGCCTTAGTTTTCAGACTTCCACCAAAGTCATTTCCTATCGCCTTTCCATGTTTCAGTCTGTTGGGCACTTGCCAACACACCTTGTTTATTCATTATAATCTACCCATTCACATGAAAAGATCATCAGGGTAAGGATTTCTCCATGTTCGGTCTCCTGCTACATCCTCAATGCTCCAAGAATACTGAGCACACAGAATTACCTCAATAAATATCTGTTTAATCAATTGTTTCACATTTTGTCATATTTGTAAATGAATTTTCTTATCAAGTATCCAATTTTACGAATCCCTGTGAGATAGGTTTTTGCAATGATGACATATCGCTTCTGAATAAACAGGGTGACTGATGCTAGACAAACACATCTCTTAGATCTTCAGAGAGGCTTCCCTGTGCCGAGGATGCCGCAGAAATACAGAACTGATCAGAGCACAGAGAACAAACGTCAGTGCAGTGCTCAGCCACAAATGGAACATCCGCATCACACCCCACCCCCAAAGCTTAGGGGACATCACGGACAAGAGAGCAGAGAGATCGTAAGAGCTGGAGGGCTTGGAGAGCACCAGAGCGAAACTGTTTCCTGGACCACAGAACCCCTGAATGCCCTGCATCTGTGGATGCCTGTACAAAACCGGTACAGGATCAAGCTGGCCGCATTGCAGCATGAAAGGGTCTCGGCCCTAGATGACGAGCTATTGACAGTCCGTCTCGATGCTCCAATTTACCTTAAAGAAATGCCTGCAAAAGCCAGCCTTGGACTTAGCCTAGAACCCTAATGCCAGGCCTCCGTTTCCCACCGGCAAATTGGATAGCCTTGAGGCAGCCATTTGGCTTTTGCACAATTTAGTTTCCTAACCTGTAAAATGGGGTAAGAGCCAACCTACCCATGTTGTACAAGGATGGTATTAAATGTAATTAAATAGTAGGCCAAAGGCTTATTAAACATCGGCGGCGGCGGAGGCTTAATGCTGTCGTCATTACCCAATACAAGGTCATTTGCTTGTCTCTAACCCTAGGGGCCCAGCTCATGGCTGCCCTGACTTCAAAGCCCCAAACCCACCTCTGCCGTTCTCACGGAGCTGCTGACCTTGCATTCGGGATGGTAAGTCAGAAAGCAACTTCCGGAACTTCACACCATTACCACTGACACTTCTGACTTCTGAATCCACGGACTTTCTTAGCATGGGTACTTTTATCTAGAAATGTGGTTTATTTTGGTGGTTTTTGTTTTTTATTTGTTTATTGCTTTTCTCTTTCAATCTTACTTCTGCCTGAATTTGTAATTTGATTTACTTGCTTTTCTTTTCTTTTTAAGATAGAAGCTTAAATGAAATTCAGACACTTCTGTTTCTCTACTATTAAACATTAATGCCACAAATTTTCCTCCTAGGTACCACAATAGTTGCATCTCACACATTTTAGTAAGCAATAATTTTATTACAATTTAGTTTAAACTATTTAAAAATTTTTATTTGACCATTGCATTATTTAGGAGTGCATTTATTTGCCAACATGTAGAAATCTCCCATATGTCTGAAGCTGGTTTTTCTATTGCCAAATGAGTCTTATTTTTCAAAAACAATATTTATTCAGAAACAAATGAGACACAAAGGACAAAAAATAAAATAAAAGACAGTAACTGAGAATTCCCCACACACAAGTGAAAGTACCAACCTTCCCTAGCCATCAACCTTTCTTCCCATATCTATTAATCTCTTAAGCTTTTAACATTTCTCCCCGCTTGTTCTCAATCAGGTTTCCATAGTAGGGTCATTTGTATCAAGTGCCTTTGACAAAAATGACACATCCCAGTTCACTGAAATAGAGTCACTCCATCCATCCATCTTGAAGAGATGGTGTTCCGGTTTGAAAGAAAATGGCCCCTAAAGGGAGTGGCACTATTAGGAAGTGTGGCCTTGTTGGAGGAAGTGTGTCACCGTGGAGGCTGGCTTTGAGGTCTCATATATGCTCAAGCCACAGCCAGTGAGACAGACCACTTCCTGTTGCCTGAAAGATGTAGGACTTGCAGGTACTTCTCCAGTACCATGTCTGCCTGCAGGCCGCCATGTCCCACCATGATGATAATAGACTGAACCTCTGAACTGCAGGAAAGCCACCCCAATTAAATGTTTTCCTTTATAAGAGTTGCTGTGGTCATGGTGTCTCTTAGCAGCAATAGAAACCCTAACTACGACAGAAGCCTTCTTGGAACACTGACTTGCATGATCTGAGCTGAGGCATAGCAGTCACTTTTCTGTGATTAAAGGGGGTAGAGTTGGCTGGAGGGACTCTTCTTAATTAACTCGTGGTGCTCAAGGGAACTCTGGGCCCTGACTTCCTCAGGAAAGCTCTTGGGATGACCCAGGGTTGGAGGCTGCTCTTGGTCTAGCCTAGAGTTAGAAGACCCAACTCTATCTGCTCAACACTCAAAAGCTAGTATCTGAGGAACATGAATGGAAGGAAGGAAGTTGGGTTTATTCAAAAGTTGGAACACTGAGGAGATTGGGCTAATCTATCATTTCCTCCCCAGAAAAGACTCTCTTGGGGAATTGAGGTCCATGAATAATGGGCTTATACAGAGGGAAAAGGAGAGTGTTTCAGGGTAACATGGGGAAGGCCGTATGCTAAGTGCGGGTAATGATGTTGGGGAGGCTGTGCTTTGAACAGGGTGTTTATCATCCAGGATGTGTGTCTCCTTACTTTTTCCTGGTTGGAAAACTGCAACAGATTTTGGTCTCCTATGTGTGGTTCCTAGAAATTTGTGGACAAACACATCACTCTTCTACATGTTAAACCTCACAGATATAGCTAGTTTTCCTGCCTGGCCCACAGTCAGGACAAATCTCTGTCACCCGCCAGTCTCACAGCCACTCAGACCCAACCAAGTAAACACAGAGACTTATATTGCTTACAAACTGTATGGCTGTAGCAGGCTTCTTGCTAACTGTTCTTATAGCTAAAATTAATCCATTTCCATAAATCTATACCTTGCCACGTGGCTCGTGGCTCACCGGTATCTTCACATGCTGCTTGTCATGGCAGCGGCTGGCAGTGCCTCATTCTGCCTTCCTGTTCTTTCTTTTCTCCTCTCTGTTAGTCCCGCCTATACTTCCTGCCTGGCCACTGGCCAATCAGTGTTTTATTTATTGACCAATCAGAGCAACACATTTGCCATACAGAACATCCCACAGCACACAGAGGTTTATGTATACTTGGTTGGTTGATGCAGTGGACTAGAGCGAGCGAGAAGGGTGGTGCACATCCTAATGCTTTCTGAAGGTCACCTGGTAGTCTGGACTTCATAAATCTAAAGCGAGATTACATGTTGTCTGACATCTCAACTGGTTAGGTGTGGTCTTGCTCTGGGAAAGGGAGGCAAAGGGTGTTGCATGAGGGATATAGTGCATGTACGTAGGGAGAGTGCTCTACTCAGCGGCTGCTGTGGTCACAGTGTCACATCTTGGCTGCTGCGGATGTGACCTGCTAGGTCCTGGAGGGCTGGGGGTGAACACCTGAATGCTGACACTAGTCCCCCAGTACCTGCTCAGTCCATGTGGAGGTCTGAGAACAACTTGCAGGAGTTGAGTCTCCCCTTTCACCACGTGGGCTTGGGGATCAAATGTTAATCCCACCAGGCAAGGATAAGACCACTGCCAAAATTTTTGAGCCAAATTTGAAGCAAGATAACTACTGGCCAGGACGATGGACACATACCAGGCCCATGATCCCCAGAGTATGGCAGCAAATTACATTAGTCAGGGGCATATAAAGGCTAAACCCACAAGGCTTCATACTTCCCACCTTCATGCAATTAGGGGAGAGCATACCTCCTGACATACTTGGTACCTGAGTGTGTTCAAGTACATCCTGTACCGTTGGGGCAACCAACCTTGTTTATAGAAGTGAAAACACAAGGCTTGTTATCTTACATGAACAACAGCCCCCAGCATTGCAGGAAAGTTATCTGTCCTTAGGCAAGCGGGACTTACAGGTTAGAGGCACTTTTGTTTTATAGCTCTCTCTCTCTCTCTCTCTCTCTCTCTCTCTCTCTCTCTCTCT